ATTGGTGACTCCTTATGAGCATCCTGAGTTGGCTTAGGCACTGCCAGGGCAAGGTCATGGAGTTCCTCCTAACCGGGAGTTAAGGGCGCAAACAGCTCCATCCTCAGGGCCCTAAGCTCATTCCAGGGATCCAAGGCCATGTTTTCAGTTGCCACTGAACAGGAGGCTTTGGGCTCTTGAATCCAAATCATAGAAACCCAGTCTCTTTGGCCTTTTGCAAAGACCTGGGCAAATCCTTCTGATTACTTTGTGATGGTCCTGGTTTCAGAGCTGGTACATCTGGACAGGGCAAATAAAGACCACACCTCACAATTCTTTGATGTCCTCTGTTGGACACACATTTGGTCGTCTGTCAGCTCATTTGACACTTATTGACTGAGACTCTACTCCACGTAGTACCCAGGGATACTTGCTGGCAGTACAGCACCTATCTGAAGGTTGAGAAAGATTATAAAATTTAGTCATTACAACTGTGATAAGCGCTCTGGAGAAGCGCAGAAGTTATGAGAATGACTGACAGGGACAGTCTTGGGAGTCCCCCAGGGCTTTCTAACGTAAGGAAGTATGTCTGTGGAAGTGAAGGACATTGTGGGTAGAGAGCAGCAGAGGCCAAGGCCCTGATGCAGAGAGGTGTCCAGACAGGATGACCATCCAGGCTGCTGTAGGCAGTTGGCAGTGGGGAAGGTGGGGAACACCCCTGGGAGACAAGCGGGACCACATCCAAGGCCCTGCAGCCACACGGACTTGTGTTTATTCTCCTGTCTGGGGAGTACTGGACCTACTGTGTGGACCCAGTGGAAATTTTGCCCTTGATCTTTAGACTCTGTAATTATGAATTCAGTTTAACTCAAAAAATACAGTTAATGAATTTTCATCTAAAGTGTTTGTCTTAGCAATTAAGTCAATTTATTCCTTGATAAACTACCATACAGATTTTAATTGATTTCAATTCTTTCCACTTCCTATTTATTAAAATTAATGTAAGATCAATTTTTATTACAAACTTGTCATGGAAATTTGATTCATCAATTGTTTTTCAATTGTCATCAAGTCTAACTTCCCATGGTCCTCATCAAGATTTGATTCCTCAGTCATTTTTAATTAGTTAAATTTCACCCAGTGTCATTTTAACCCCTTTCCATTTTATTTTGCATTGGTTGTAATACTCCCTTTGAGTCCAATGAGTGTTTCTTTCTTAGTCACCATGAGAAAAGTCTTGAGTGATCTATTGTTCAAGACAGACCTACTGCAAGGGTCCCCTAACTCCAGCCTGAGGACGCCTCTACTCTTAAAAATTATTGATGTTCTCAAAGCTTTTATGTGTGTTATAGCTATCAATATTTCCTATATTATAAATTAAAACTGGTGATTTAAAAAAATATTTTAAAAACAGTAAGAAGCCCATCATGTTAACGTACATATTTTTATTAAAAATAACTCTACCTTTCAAAACAAAGAAAAAGGAAAGAGTGGCATTTACACTTTTGCAAATGTCTTTTATGTCTTAATAGAAGACAACTAGCTTCTCTTGCCCTTTACATTCAAACTGTTTTAATCACACACACTGGGGAGCCTCTGGAAAATGCCCCACTGGAAGAATGAGAGAGGAAAGGTCTTAGTTTCATTATGAAAATAGCTTGGTCCTGGTCAGCACAGCTCAGAGGGCCCACCAACCACACGTGGAGAACTGATCTCGTGTGGGTCTTCCCAACAGGTGTTTGTGTACCATTTGATTTAAGGTGGGGGAAAAAGGGATTATTTTATTATTTTTATTTTTTGTCAGTATTACAGATGTCCCCCATTTTCTCCCCTTTGCCCCCTCCCCGCCCCAGGCCTTTACCACACGATTGTCTGTGTCCATGGGCATGTATACATGTCATTTCATTGATCTTTTCCTGCCCCTTCATCCCCCGTCCCTCTGAGGTCCCTCAGTCTGTTCCAGGCTTCAATACCTCTGACCCTATTTTGTTGGTCAGTTTATTTGATCATTAGATTCCACATATGAGCGAGATCCTGGGCTGCTTGTCCTTTTCTGCCTGGTTTCACTCAGCATAATACTCCCAGGTCGCCCCATGCTGCCCCAAAGGGTACGAGCTCCTTTGTCAGGGCTGCGTAGTGCTCCACGGTGTCAATGTCCCCCAGCTTTTTATTCCTGTGATCTCCTGGTGGGCACTTGGGCTGTTTCCAGATCTTAGCTATTTACAATAGCATTTTTTATTTTAATAATTATGCCTTTTTTAACAAGAAAAAATTAGAGAAAGTTGTGACATAATAGCCATGACAAGTGGCCATTCGTTAGGGGCAGCACGTCCGGGGCGGGGTGGCCCCAGGGCGGGGTTACTCCCGCTGGCCCCTACCGGCCTCTACGGGCCTCTACCGGCCTCCACCGGCCCCGCGCGGAGCGGAGGACGCGGGCGGGCTTTGGAGGCGCTGAGCCCGGGCGCTCATTTCCCGGGGAGGGAGGGGGGCCCGGCGCCGGGCGGGTCACCCACGGGACGTCCCCGCGCCCGCCGAGGAAGAGTCGCCGCTCCCGGGGTCTGAACCT